ATATGCATAGAAGTGCATGTCACTTCATTTGTTTTTAATGGTGGACAACCTACGTGGTGCACAAATGAAGTGAAAGATAAAGATTGGTCTCTTGTAACTTGCTGTAGAATCAATAGCGCCTTAGTTTAGGAGCATCTTCAGTGCCTCTACCCAGTTTATCACTTTCTTTAAAAATGTTTCATAGCGTTTATAACAAGCGTTCCCAATTTTGGAGGGCAGTGGGTACTTTCCCGAGGTTGATGTTCACAAAATGGCTGCTGTGGATGGTCTTGCTCCTTCATAAAATGGCTGTTCTGAGGGCATGGCTTGTTGTAAAACACTCATTTCTTCTCAAAAAGCAAACTGGGGAAGCTGATGTAAGTCGCTCAAGAACCTCTGTACAAGACAGAGGTGGGGCCTGAGCTCTGAAATGCAAAGCCCTCTTTTGCATCCAAATAAAGTTGATGGTGGAGGTGAATTGATGCTACACTTGGCTTGGCAGTGTGCCAGATTCCTAGTTAATTTTTTGATATTCAAAATATCTTATGAAATGAAATGAAATAAGATTGGGAAGTGTTGGGGAGTCCCACAGACACCATGAAAGGTTCATGGATCCCTTGGTGCCAAAAGCACCATGTTGGAGAGCCCACATTGTTAGTATTGCTCAGAGCATTTCATAAAGTCTCCTCAAAATAAAGCTTTTTTCCTGCTGATTTTCATCTAGATTAAATGCCATCAAACCACATTTTTGAAAAAGAAACATACTTTAAGGCCAACTACTAAACTGTCATTTTAGTAGTTAGTGGGGAGTTTGAACAAAGGAGAGGACTTTTCCTCAGGGCCGGCTCTTCCATAAGGCAGAGTAGGGCAACAGCCTCAGGCAGCAGGTGGAAGTAGTGACGGCAGCTTCCTGGCTATTTCCCCTGAACTTCCAGGCTGGTCCTCTCTGTGTTGGAAGATAGAGCTGCATACGCTACACCCGCTGTCCCAGGCCTCTTAAACACGACCACACTGCAAAAGTGTTGACATGTTTCAACTACCAGATCAGCTGGTTTCTGTATATGAAATTGGGAAGGAACGTTTTGCTGTCCATCATCTCAGGCATCAAAGTCTTAAACCAACTCTACCTTCCCTAATTTTGTGGTTGTCCACCCTCATCTATGATGCCCTGACTATGAAGAATGTTGAGATGCTGTTTCTGTATTCTTAGAACTAGCATCCCCTTCTCTTTTCTGGCCACAGAGGAGATACTTCTTCCTTTTTGTCCGTGTTTAATACATATGCAATGATACTCTGTCGATTAGGTTCAAGTTCCAAAATGCAAGAAACTGGAAGCTTAGGTGGGTGCCTTCACAGATGTGTCCCATAATCAGCAAAAATGTTATCCAATGTCACAAATCGTTCCAGATTTTAAACAAACCCAGTAGAGTTACTTGAAATAAGGCCGGTCCTGCTATTTCCTTCCAACCAGTCCAGGGCTTCCCCAACTCAGGCTTTGCTCTGACAGCAGGTCAACTGAAATTTCTCTTCTGTGCCCTACCTCTTCTCACGGCTCCAGATCAAGCCACACCCATTCCTTGTTCCACACAAGCAGGACCTTCCCCTTCTTCTCCAGGGTTGACTGCTGGCCTGCAACCTACTGCCTTCATGGCTGAATGTGGAGGTCCCTGCAGCTTGCAAACATGCGGAGAAAAGATGGGGACACCAGCAGTATTGAGCCAGATTGGATCAATAAATCATGGTTCATGATAAGGATATTGTCAAATTCCTGTGTTTCACGTGTCAGCTCTGCAGCTCCTTTCTCAATTTCTCTGAACATAGTGAATTTCCCATTTAGGATATTTTCATCTAGGCACAGGACTGCAGTGCATTAGCAGACTATCGCAATAGGCTAGATCATCTTATTAGCATTGCCAACGTGCTCAAGTAATGCCAATTTATAGCTGGTTAAACTGGTCCAACTTGCCTCACAATGGCCAAAGCCACAAGCCTCTACTCTTTCTAGAGATGTACACTGATGACTGAAGGGTTTTTCTACCCAGTTATAAGCGAAATCTTTGTAATCAAGCCTTGGGCGGCTCCACTTTACTACCATGTTATTGGTGCAGAAAGCATTGCACAAATGATGGCAATTTCACAGGTTCCCAGTGCTCATTTACTCTTTAATTAAAACTTTATTTAGTACCAGATCCCAGTATACCTGCTCCTGAATGACACTGGTGAGGTGTAAATTAAAGGCGATGTCTTATTTTTTCACTATTGAGAATTGAAGGGATTCCCGTCTGGAGGTCACAGCAGCAGTAAACTGCTCTTTCTAGTCACAGTGCTTCAGGGAGCACAACCTTAGCAATATAGGCCTTGCTGGGCTATAGACTGGCCCCACAGCTCATCTCCCAAGAGGAGCCATCCAGAAGTACTCGAGAACCCCTTCCACGGGGTTTTGTTCCAGCCTCTGGTACGCCGAAGCATGGAAAAGGGACTGCCAACAAAATGGTAGGGTATGGGGTCCTCTTTTTAAGGGTTTTTAACTGGAACCCTGCCATATCCCCTCCCCTCCCCTCGTCTTAATCCCACCCCCAGTAGCTGCCTACTGAGCATGCTCAATCCCCACCGCAGAAATGTTGTCCTCTTCCTACCTCCCATTCCCAGCTTGTTTAATCTATGGATTTGGGTGGGAAGAACTTCTGCAAATCCCGGGGTTTCCCCCAAGCCTCCCAATAGCATCTTCCTGTGTTTACATGATGCTCTGGGTATCTCACCCCAGCCCAGCCCACTGCAGTAACATCAGAGCCCAGGCCTTGGCAGATGCAAGATATTTTATCCTGCAAGGGCCTAGCAAATATATTACAACAGGCCTCAAATGGCTGAAAGATGTCCTTGTAGGCCCTAGACAGCCCTGGGGCAGCAGAGAGAGAAGCCTGGATGGAGGCAGTGAGATATTGTTTCCTTGCTGCTTTGGTTGCCTCCAATATGCTGGACTATAAACACATGCCAGGACTCCACTGCATTCACTGTCTGCACTCAAGCCAGCTCCTGTTTTCTTTGTTGCTTCCAGTCCATTGTCCTCTTCCTACCTTGTCAGCTGCCCAGGTCATCTCCGTATCTGAGAGATGGACCAGGGATCCAAAGGACACACCCACCCTACCAGCTGGAAAGCAGGCTTCCCTAATGAATTCAGTGGGACTTACTCCCAGGGAAGTGTGTACAAGATTGAACCTTTGCAAATGAAAGCGCAGGACTGTATGTCAGTGGCAGGAAGTCCCCTTGGGATATGCCTCGGAATACTCATCGCTAGGAAGTATGAACTGCAGGAAGGCAGAGCTGGACTACTGAGGCCTCTGGTCTGACTGGGCTGAACTCTTTCCTGCCCTCCCTGAACCAGGGCCAGGCACCTCTTTCTACTCAACGCCTCACAGGAGGGGAAAAATGCCCTAAGAACCGGTGAAACCTGTACTCCAGAGTACGTACAGGTTGGGAAGGAAGTCGATGCAAAACAGCTATAGCAAAATACAGGTGAACTTAACATGGTTAACGCCTTTTCACTTTATTGCACATTAATAAAACAAATACTATTTTACTCCTTTAAAAATTACAGTTGAGCAACGTGGCGGAAAACTGCCTGGAAGTTTTTCGTTGATGCATGCAAATAAAAGGCTTAGGCGCTAAACATGATAAATAAGCACGCTGAAAAGCTACGGTAGGGCTCTACAGCGAGGTCTCCGAGAATCAGTTTTCTACCCCAAGTTGCAACGGAGTTTCCTCCCATGCATACCCTTTTTCCTACCCTTGGTCTTGGGGAAATTCACAGGGGAGCAGAATGCCCGCACACAAGACTAGCTGGGGCTTTTCCCCGTCTGCCCCGCGGTCAGGGAGTCGCAATCTAGACAACCCGATCCTAGCCACATTTTATTTAGCCCCAAGTTCTACGGACCGAAATGACGCTTACTCCCGAGTAAAGCGCTGCGCCGTCCTTGCGCTCCTCGCGGCGGAATAGTCCTACTACCGGGGGACGCCGGAGGCGGGCAGATCGCATTGCCAGGAAAGTGATCAGCATTACGAGACTCCTAACAAATTTGGGGCTAAAAAAGGCAACAGGCTCTCTCTTCTTTCTCTCATGACACACTGCGTCCCAAAGGCAGCTCTCTCCCTCTTGCAGCCTAGCCTCCTTTCTCGGCATCCCACCCACCCCGCCTCGGGCACGCAGCGCCGAAGTGAAGCTATGCAAAGGAAAGGGGGAAACATCGGGGAGAGACCCAAGACAAAGGCAGGAAATGACCCTGCTGGGGAAAGTAGAGTCACTGGGCGCAAGGGATTGTGGGAGGACCTTTAAGCCAAGGGGGCTGGGTGGAGGAAGAGGAGGAGGAGCAGGAGGAGGCTGAGGAAAGGGAAATCACAGAGATAGGAAAGAAGTGAGTTATAAGACGGAACTTACAGTTCCTTTGCCTGCCCCCTTTTCCCCGGGAGTTATGCAAAGAGGTAAAAGCTGCCCATAAAAGCAAAGATTAAAAGCAACCCGATAGGAAAACGCAGCACTTTGACTCAGCTGGGACTGGGCACTAAAGTTCACCACCAAGAGCAAAGGGCAGCAGCCCAGGGCAGAAACTTACGCTTTGCCTAACTCAGATCTGATTGCACGAAGGATCTCGTTTTCGCGCCGTCTCAAAGTCCTTTGCTAGAGCGCGCGTGTTGGTGCGTAATGGGGAATGTCTGGCTGGAATCTCAGTTGCAGTGGCGGCAGTGGGATCAATAGACAGCCCTCCCCTCCCCTCCAGCACAAGATAATAGACTATGTTGGCATCGTTAGGGCAAAGCTTAACATTTTAATCCCGCCCGGGTTAGCAAGGTCCGAGTTGGGAAGAGCAAGCCTTGAGGAAGGGCGAAGCATGGCTGCCCTATCACATCTAGGCTTAATAATCTGGAGTTCTTCACTTTTTCTATCTTAGCTCACACTTTCCCCTGTTGGGGGGAGGAGGAAGAGGAGGAGGAGGGCAAAGACAAAAAAAGTTGTCCAAATTGAACTCGGAAGGTGACTCTCTCGGTAGCAGCTACATACTACAAGTCTATGGAGAACACACGGAAGCCAAAGTGGGACTTAAAAAATTCACTCCGCTCTTTTCCTGCTCTGGAGCATCGAGCAACAGTGCAGTGACTGCTACGATGCAGGTATTTTTTACGGTTCTGTACTTAGTCCCTTGACTCATCTCTGTCGCGCTTCAAGTCCTGAAAAGACCCATCGTGCATGTGGCGGCCCGTGCCCGGGTGTAGGTGTGTCTGCTCGGGAGGAAGCCCGCTTGCGTCAGATGCCGAGGGCGCGCAGGGCTGCAGGGGCGCAAAAGCCCGAATCCCGACGCTGGGCTTCCAAGGGTCGCGACTTCTGGTAGAAAGTCCCCTTCAGCGCCGCTTGCCTAAACATGCTGGCAGCTAAGCTGAGCGGACCGCACTGGGGCTTCCTCCCGAGTAAAGAGAGGTGAGGTTGCCGCCGTGAGCGATCCGGAGCCCTGGGCGGGTTTGGACCTGACACACGCCCCCCCCCCCCCGCCCCCTCCATCACTTTGCTTGCAGCTCTGAGCAGCCGGATTCACTTGTTTTTAACTATGGCAATAGCACCGCTTGTCCCCCGCCTCGCAGTGCTTTGTAGGAAAGTATTTGACAAATTTCCTCAAAATCGTTCTTCACGCATTACTCAAAACCTTGAAACTTCCTCTACCCCTCCGAGGGTTGCTTCCCTTGCACTTCCCCTCCGTTTCGCTGCTTGAGTCTATCAGTGACTTTTTCTGCCCTGCAGAGATGATCACAGATAAGGAGGACCTATTTTTCGTGCCACGGGATGATGGAAAAGCTGCCCTGGCTACTGGAGGAGCAGAGAACAAGCCACCTGGGCAAAGAGCTGGTCCAGAAAGACCAGTTCGCATTAGTGCTGGTGGCCCAGTGCTTACAGACAGCACCAAGCGATGCAAATTAAGCAGTAGCCAAGAGCCGGCCCTCCACGAAAGGTAAGTCCTGCTTCTTATCCAGGACTAACAGCTTACAAAGAAAGCTTAAATTTTGCCTATGTTTCTTTCTGGCTGATGGTTTGGATGATCATGTAGGAGCTGCAAGGTTTTTCTCCAGTTTTCATTTTCTATTTTATACTCTTGTCTTAAATATTTAAATATTTGTACTGTATTTTATGTTTTAAATTGGTTTTAACTCATTATGAACCACTGAGAGAGCTTCAGCTATTGGGTTGTATAAAAATTTAATAAATAAATAAATAAATATAAAAACTTAGATTAATTTAAGAAGGGATGCCCTTCAATATCTGTTGAGCTGGTTGAAAAAAATAGTGTTAATGTGTAGATAGAAGGGATACTTTGAGCACGTTAACTTCCCCAGTTCCTTTTGCCAGATTTGCTTCCCAGCTTACAATTTTCAAGAGCTGATATGCAATCTTTGCAGCTGGACTCTTTCCCACCCTCTTCTCTGTAGAAAGGCTGTGGAGAGAAAGAATGCATTCTTTGTCTGACTGGCCCCTATAGACATATTTGAGCTTAAATGTCAGTCATAACTTGTTTTCTGGACTTATTGTAGCAGGAATAAAGGCTGCTTTCTGTATGATGAATTTCTTGCCTAGGTATCACTTTTATTGTGTACACTTGACAAGTATAGGCATCTGTTCTGTGGTTCATACACAAGCTGAGAAATCTTTACTAATGGAGGATTTCTGAGTTAAGTGGTACCTATGGTAGATTGGTTACCTGTAATTGCATACAGGTAGGAAGCCCCCAGTGTCTCATCCCTGAATACTGCTCTTAACAAAGGGATCTCCCGCTTTGACAATCTATAGGGGATCAATTGGATTTTTTTTCCTTAATGATCTTCATCAAATTTAATTCTAATAATGCTTCTAGCGCATTTGAGCAGTAGCACTGCTTTTCTTGAGGAGCAGGAAGAGCTTGTGAACTTCGGCCGTTGGGTGCTATGAGCAAGTTTAGACAGGAAATAGGCCTACATCTCCCAGTATGCCTCAGCCATGAGTCTTACCTGGGTGTTAGTTTTACTGAACCCAATGAGTAAACCTGTATAGGATTGCACCATAAAGAATATCTCAGTATAGGATAATAGTGCATGTTTATCCATAAATACTGAGTCTGATGGAAGTATGGTTAAATTTGAAACCTTCATGAATACTGATTCCCTTGCCAAAGGGAACTTTCGAAACTTCGAAGGAAGAGGGAGAAAAATAGACGAACCCAAACTAAAATTGCCAGGGTTTTCCATTGGAGGCGATGACTGGTTAAACTGAGTGATGCCACTTCCTGCTCTTCCTTGCATGGTCTCCCCATCTCAGAATTACGCTGGAATAGCTTCAGTCTCCACCTGCACGTGGGCATGGCTCCTCAGGCAGTGCAGTGCCATTTAACAGTGTCCTCTGGCTGCAGAGAGGAGTCTCCTCGCCTGGCTCGGGAGGATGCTGTGATTCTTTTCCACGCATAGCTTTGCAGTGCCAATAGGCTCGTGAAGAAGTAGAGAGCGAAGGAGCTTGTGCAGAACGGGGGAAGCCATGTAAGTGAAGGTTAGGGAGAACGTGTAGCTGCGACAGAGAAGTGAGGAACGTCGAAACAATCTGCAGTTATAAGATCCAACCATTTTTTTGGTGAGGGGGAACACAGTTATAATCTTGAGTGTTCAGACTGGCAAAAGAAGACAACCAGCGGTGAGATGGATCGATTCCATAAAGGGAGCCACAGCCTTGAGTTTCCAAAAATTGAGCAGGGCTGTCAAGGACAAGACAGTTGGGGGGACATTCGCTGACAGGGTCGCCAGAAGTCAGAGATGACTTGATGGCACCTAGCAACATCCACGCTCAGGTTCATCGCATTTCGAAAAGCCGGCTGGAGCCAGGGGTCAGACTAGATGGCCCGGGAGACCCCTTCTGACTTGCTCAGTTTCTGTGTTTCTATGAAATGAGGACTGGGCTACCCTCTCAACTTATGCAACTGGCTGCAAGTACTCCTTTCAAAAGAATGTTGGTTTGCTAATTTGCCGCCTCCTGTTATATCAGCCCATCCCCTTTGCTGCTGGAAACTCAATATGAGAAATAGCAGCACAGCAAACCCATCAATGGCATCCCTGTTGCACCACTTCCGGGTCTCCTCTTTGTTAATCCATATTGTGGCTGAATATTTTAGTATGCTGACTGCAAAGAATGCTCACTCAGATTCACTCACTCACTCATTCATTATTATATTTCTTTCTTTATCATACAAGTTTCCTGCCTTTTTTCCTCTTGTAAGGAACCCAGTACAGCATATATAATCTTTCTTCTCTCCATTTTATGCTTATCACATCCCTGGAAAATAGGTTAGTCTGAGAGTCAGTGATTGGCCCAAAGTCACACAGTGAGGTTGACTGGCAAGTTGGGACTAGATTCCAGGTCTCCCAAGAGGCAATCCAACCCACTAATTACTACAGCACACTGGCTGTCAGCATTTGGTAATGCTTTACTCGGAAACAATTTACTGTAGTTCTAGATGGAAAATCTCTCCGATGCAAATCTCGTGTTCCTTGCATCCAATTTCAAGCACTGGGCGGGGTGGGGCAGGGCAGGGCGGGTGGGAGCAGAGGTCTGTCTTTTTGATCCTTGACATGGAATGTGGTGGCTACAATCCATGGATACTATGACGGCGATGAACAATATTTGAATGATGTATAGCTGGGGTGGCAGATTTGCTCAAGCCACATACAGTATATGCCAGGTGTTCGGGAGCTGCAGGTGGAGACGGCAGCAGGTGGAGAGCAGGAAGCCGGTGCTTGTTGCGGGTGGGGGTGCCAGACAGGCACCCACAGCAGCAAGCCATAAAATAAAGAGCCACCTGTGGCCCCAAAGCCTCAATCCCCCGCACAGAATGGCTTGTGAGAGTTTGCTTCCTAAATAGCTAAGTAAGTTTCCAGATGAGCAAATGCAAAACAATTTTGTAGCAATACGGTTCTGTCCAATATCATGCAAGCGGAGTTCATGGGCACCCCCACATTGGAGGCCTTCGCACAGCCATCTGTCAGGGATGCTTTAACCTGGAGTCCTGCACTGAGCAGGGGGTTGGACCTGACAGCTGTATTAGGCCCCTTCCAACTCCACCGTTCAGGGATTCTGTGCTCACTCAGTGAACCTTGCCTTTTCTCTCCCTCCTCCTGCACACCCTGCCCCACAACACACACGCCCCCAAATGTGCGGCTTGGCTTGCTGCTCTGTGCAGTGAAAAGAAGTCCTTATTGGAATCTCTCCGTTCTCTACTTCAGGAAACACATTTAGAAATATTATTCTGAAGAGGCAGACATGTGAAAAACAAGTTTGCGGTGTTTTTCCAGGTCATGATCGTAACTCTTCATGTCCTGCTAGAAATCTGTCCCTTCAGAATAAGAACACAGTGGGCTACAGGCTCCGTGTCTAGATCTGGTCTGGACTCTGAGATAGCCAGTGAAGTTGCGTGGAATTCTATTGATGGCGTGCAAAGCAGCCCGGAGAGAGTTCTTGCTTGGCACGGCTTGTTTAATAAGTTTTCCATCCCTGAACTGCCTTCGGCACAATGGTGAATTTGATCAGGTTGGAAGAGACATGCAGGCCCTTTGGGGGCCTTCCTTGTAATGGAAGTTCTGCGACTCGGTCGTAATCCAGGTGCTTTCCATGCGGACCACCTCAGGTGTGATCCCTGGGGAGCCAGTGGCGGAACTGTTGGGGCAGGGTGCAGGGGACTGGAGGACTGCCTGCCGCCTTCTCGATCACTAGCTGATGTTGGGACTGTTGCTGACTCACAGCCCAGCCTACCTCACAGGGTTGCTGTGAGGATAAAACAGAGAAGAGGGTCATGTAAGCCGCCTTGGGTTTCTTGTGGGAAGAAAAGAGGGCTAGAAATACATAAGAAATTAATAGATAAACTTAGGGCCACCAAACAGTACTCAGTCCAGTAGATGTGTGTGCAGCAAAACAGGAACTCAGTAAGCCATGCATCTTTGCATTTCCAGGGAGGAAACAAAAGTGTGGGAGAGAAGGGTTGACAGGCACAGTGCAGGCTGTAATTCGGATTAATAGTTCTTGAGGCAGACAAAGGAGTCTCTCAAGACAAAACATTTGACTTGTTTCCTCCATAACACCTTGTCCAGCCCCGAACGGCCGCCTTAGCTGTACTGGATCGATGTAATGGTGGAAGACTCAAAAGCTTGAACATTTCACAAAGAGGTTTTGTCTTTGCACTCTTTTTTTCCTAGTCCTGGGATGTTACAGCAAATGACAAAGAAGGCAGGCGCTGCCGTGGAAGAGAAACCCAAAAGGAGCATTTTCAGCATATCGTTTTCTAAAAGCAAAAAGGAAAAATGCACTGCTCATGATAAAGGGACTTCAAGTTTCAGCTCCAGCCACAAAGGGAAACCTGCATTGCCTTCCAGGGAAGAGAGTGCAAGTTGTGCAAAGAGGGCCGAGACAGAGGACTTGAAAACGTCCAGTCACCACCAAGACCATTACCACAGGAATGAAGGAAAACTGCCTGATCCAGCCATCTTTTCCCCAATGGAATCCTCTGTAGACTAGTGAGTGAACGTCATCAAACTTTTATGGAAGAAAACTATTTCAGATACTGTGATGATGACTTGTATTTTCCAGACACAACATACTTTATTTATTGCTATTATTTTATTAGTTGCAGCATTTCTCCACCACTTGGCATTTGAACCAATGTTGAAGTGGTGTATTTATTTAGTACTGTATCCTACTGGAAGGATTAGCAAGCTTTCGTGTGTTAGCCCAAATCTTTCTTCCAGCAAAATCAGACGTTATGGTGCACTGTGCATATACTGTGGGCTTACTACAAATAGTAGTCTGCAAATGAGGGAACATGAGCTCCTTCTCCTTTCTGCATGGTTTTCCCCCCTCTTGCACTGTCTGCTTTAACAAAGCTTTAACACAAGGCTACACGAGGTTTTTTGCCAGGGGACTGCATGAGAAACTCTCTCAGGAACGAGCAGCTGCGTGTAGCCCAGCAATCCTGTTACGGATCTCCCTTTCCTTGTTCCTTGCTGTGGCCAGGGAAGAGTAGCGCATATGAAGAAATTGGGGGAGTGCATGGCAGGATGGATTTTTAAAAAAAATCAAACTGATTTAAATCACAATTTAAATCACTAGTCAGTAAGACTAGGTTTAAGTCACCGTTTTCTACTTAACTTGCATGCATGCCTGCCTTACCTGTAGGTAGAGAGCAGCTTCATAAAATATTCCCAAACTGGGTCTCTTTCACAGCCTGCTGCCGTTATAGGTTTTCTCCTCCAGGGAAAGAATATGGTAAACGTCAGACTAAAGATCGAAAGACTTGTGGAGCAGTCTGCTCAAAAGGTTTTACTTTTGTTTTTTCTGCTTGCCCTTCTGTCTTCACACTTAGCTTTTTGATCTATTCCACTCCCAGCAGTCTTCTTGCATTCATTGGATTTTTTTGACACTTAGCACTTAAGAGTAAGGGGTTGATTCTGTGTACATAGATTTGCAAAGGGACAATGAGAATAAGGTCTTTTTCTAAACTCTGTGTTTATTTTATAACAATTTGGCTTTGAAGAAGAGGTAGGTGAATCTCTACAGACACAAATTCACAATTTTGAGAACTGTAAAACCAAGCATCTGTGATAGTATCCTCTAGACAGAAAAAATGTATGAATATACAGCCTCATGCTACATAAAATGAATCCTTGTTTCATGGTGAATAACCCTGAGACTATAATGCAGCTTAAATAGAAAACTATATTTAGATAGCATTTTCCTCAACAAGCATTTATTTAAAAAATCCAATTAAAAATCCATTTTTTAAAACACTGATTTCTTTCCACCCCAGTGGGTGGTGGAGGTCCCAGTGAGGGGTTAGCAGGTTGCAGGTTGTGTACCCCAGCTTTCACATAAGAACTGCACCATGGCTACAGTTAATTACATTGCCTCTTAAGCTAGAACTGCAAGCCCTAATTTCAAATCCTGGTTAAAATTTGCCTTGGTTTACCTGACTTTCTTTTCTATCATGTTGTGTCACTGTTTGAGGATGCAAACTGTTAAAACCTATTTTCAGCAAAACTACATATCTGGTGCTTTGATAGGCCATTATGCATGACACAAGGTAAGCGTCCTAATGGCTTGTACGAGTTAAACAGCTGTAGGATGGAGGAGACCCAGGCATTCCTGTGTGCAAACTATTTAAAGCTATTTAATATGAGACCCAGCCTATCTCTCTAGGCTAAGCCTTACAAGTCTGGGTACAAAGACCCTCAATGCCCCCAGTACAAATTTTAAGTATCATAATAAAATGTGAACTATCAAAAAGGGGGGTTCAAAGTCCCCTTGGCCAGTTTGCCTTCACTGATTGTAATTTGAAGGTACAATACATCTACTGCCATCTTGCCTGGTTCTGAAATGTCCCATGTGAATAAGGAACACAGTCACTGGAAGCAATTCCAGTTCTTTCAAATGACATTCCTGCAGTGCGTCTCCTCAGACAGCAGTCTTTACAGTTGCCACAAGAAGAAGACTGCTTTGTGGCTCCAGATAGTGGTCTTACAGGTACCATTTTGTACTTACTCAACATTTTAAAAACAAAAGGAATTATAAGTGCAGCTTCCCCTTCAGCAAGCTATGATGTCAAAATATTGTTTTTATGCACCTGTGTTAACTTAGTCCAAAGGAAGGTTGTAACAGATGTCACCGTCTTTTAGGCTTTTACTCAGGCCCGGAAAAAATGGCTGCTATTTGGACTGTAAATGCCCCATCGGCACTGAATGTCCAGCTGTTGGCTTGTATAAGGCTTGTATATAGCTACTTGCCTGGTTGCTTGTATCAAGAAGGAACCTCTTCAAGTTTTACCAAAGTCCCCTTTCTCCTGTCTAGGCTAACAAATTACATACGTGCAGGAGCGAGCATGCACAGGTTGCTTGACAGATACTCAGACAGGTGAATAACTCCTGTGGAAATACAAGTCTGAGCTATGCCTGTTCAGATGACATTTCTGTTCTAGCAGGAAGGAGATATTACAGGCAGGTTTCATTTGGGAAATGAGTTTTTTCTCCTGGGCTCAAGAACATTTCTGATTCAAATAAATGTGGGGTGTCTTTGTTTGCTGGGGCTCATTTTTGTGTTTTCCTTGGGTACAGCTTTCTGGTAACATCTAACCTAAAAGAACCTGTGCTTTCTAATATTTTGGCTCCCTCAAAAGAACAGTGAACTCTTTAGCCTCTCCTTCAATTACAGGTGGACTTTTAAAAGTCCTGACCATGGAGGGAATTAAAATGTCAGTGGCATTTTTCTTAACTGCATGTTGAAGCCTTGCTAATAGGTACAAAGGTCGAACCCAAGCCTATCATCTTGTCCGAAATTCACCAGTGGTGCAGAAAACTGGCACCTTTGTAATGCAGCACCTTATGCTTCCAGATTTTGCTATTTTGGCTAATGCTGTAAGACCTGATTGTCAGTGTGACTTAAGTTGTTGCTTTTTAAATATCAGAACCACTGACCAGGTGCAGTGACTGCTTCTCCACCAAAGCCTTCTTTCTGTGAATGCGGCACTACAGAGAAGGAATGTTTAGAGCCTTGGGCTGCTTAGATGGATAAGCCAAGTCCCTAAAAGCTACCTTTGTTTTTCAAGTCCCTCTCCATCATGGATTGCTGTCTTCTCCTGCCCAGTAGGATGACTTAGCATGCATTTTGATGGTGGTGCTCTACCTGCCTCCTCCGCTTCCTTGCAGTTTGCACGCCAGGCAACAGTAAGTAGGTCTACGTTTACTTTTGTCAAGCGTTGTCCTTTGTTTTGCCTCCATATTTCCACTCGCTGGGACGCTCCCTCTAAGCATAGCCACCTCATTTGGCCTAATTATTGTTATTACTGGGTCAGATTCAGAGAGGAGCCTGCTGAAGAATTCTCAGAGTTGTCCTGTTCTGAGAAGTGCCATGCGAAAGGTAGCAAAGACTTCATGTCACCCAGACAGCGCAGTACCTTGCATTGATGGGCTGTGCAAAGCTCTGAGGCAGCAGAAGTACATGGCTGGCTTTCAATGCTCTTTTCTTGTCCTGAGTCAGGAAAAAGTCCTTCCGCTCACAGAAGAGGCCTTCTGCGCATGGAAGGACACCTCTGCATCCTGCCCGATAGTACTGGCAGTGGTAATCTATACCACACCTTTCTTCATCCTAGATATAAACAAAGCGGTTTACTGGTTAAAACAGCAGGTTTTACAACAGGCATAGCAGTGTTGACCATAAAATGGAAAGCACAGCACTGTGCTTTTTCCAGTCACTGCACAGCAGCCCCCTGGAAATCGTGACAGGAGAGAGACCCTCTCGTGCAGCATCTCCTCCGATGCAGCACAAGGGCTACAGCCAGAAGGTGGGGTGGGCAGCATCCTGCTGAAGCTTTGAGGGTGTGGTGGGCCTGCAGTGGGGAGGGGAGTTCAGCCTCCTCCCTCTCCGCTGATCAAAGCCATTTCTTTGGTGGGATGCCTTCCCTGCACAGCACCCTTCCTGTGACAGTTTTTCTGGTGGCATAAACTCTGTAAGACTGCTTTTTGCATATCATGTGATTTGTGTCCCCCTTTTTGTGTGATTCCAAAGGTTCTGCCATCACCAGCAAAATGCATTCTAACCTGGGAGGCAACAATCTGTTAAAAGACCTCATGGTCCCGAAGAAAATAAGGTGTGTCCTTTTTGAAGTTACTTTCTTGGGTGACTTCTTCTTTGGAGTATTAGCAACCTGTTTAAGGCTGTTCTTTTGCTGTCACTTAAATAAATGGGCCATTGACAGCATTTACCTGATAAAAATTGCCTTGTTTCTTAATGGTAATTGGCAGTGGGAGTGTTGGGGAGCTGGGGGACCCTGGTTCTAGTCCCCACTTGAGCATGAAGTTCCCTGGGCGACTGGGCCAGTCACAGGCTCTCAGCCCCACCTGCCTCACAGGGCTGTTGCTGTGGGGACAGCATGGAGCTGTGTGTTTCTTCTCAAGAGGAAAAAAGCCACCCTATAAATGCAGTGTAACGATGATGACGACGATGATGATCATAATACTCAGAAAGAAATGTCTATGTGGATTAGCGAAATGCTGCTGTGTGAAGTGTATGTCAATGTTGTTGCAGCGAGGAGGACATGTACCGCGATGCAGAAGAAATAGAAAGAGAGAAAGTGTTACTGGTGTGTGGGACAGGCTCCTCAGGTACCTTTCAGCACTACTTGTGTTTGGCGCGTTGCTGGTGTTTGCCCACCCCGATGTAGAAGCGGAATAACGCGTGCAGCAGAGTGGGCAGCACCCCTCGGGGCTCGTTTGCAGTTGCCAACTCCAGAGGATTATGGGAGATGGGAAGCTATGGATTATGGGAGGACAGAACCAGTTCTCCATGCTTCTTCAGCAAAAGCAGCAGTACAGCTTCCTGATTGGAGATGTAAAATTTTGTCCCAAAGGTGCCATTGTTCGAGGGAAGTGACCAGGGTGGACATTCCACAGACAGCTTGGCGTGTCCAGAACTTCCACGGACAAATCCATATAGTAATCCAGAGCAGGAAGGCAGCTTGTGCCCTCTGAGAAGTTTTGGCCAGTGCTTTTCATCAGTCTTAGCCAGACTAGCCGGTGGTGGTGGAGACTCATGGGAGGTCCGGCCCTCCAGATGTTTTGGCCTGCAAGTTGCCCACCCCAGTGTAGAAGACGGTCTCTCCTGCCCTCAGTCCTATCTGCTCCCATCAGATAGTGCTTCCTGGCTTACTCTCGCCTTCACTGCAGTTCACATACCGCAAGGAGGCAGGTGAGGATCCCGGGAGCACCCCTGCTTTGCTGCCAGGGTCCCATGGCAGGATAAGAGCGATGTGTCCGTGCAGACCCTTTGTCCTCCTCACTGGGGAGTGGGGTGCAGGGCTCTTCTCAATGCAGGGGAATTTTCCTGCATGTCTTGTCCCACTGCGGTCCTGTTCTTGTGGTCATGTGGAACACACACACCTTTCCCAATGGGGAATGAGTGGGAACACCTTAGAAAACACCACACAGGATGCAAAATTGGACGAAATGAGAGAAAAATCATACCTGAAGAAGTTTAAATTGTTTCGGTTGGGCCCAGGAAGGCCATGCCGTGAACCGAGGGGTTCCTTCAGCTCAGGGGAAGCACCAGGCTCTGGAAGAAGAGGCTGAGGAGGTGATGCTCACTGGGTCCCCGTCCCTCTGTGCCACTTCTCAGGCCGCCCCAGTGTTTCCCAGCTGTTTGGAGCAGCTTGCCAGGAGGTATGATGGGGTTGCTGAGATTGCCCCTTTACCTGCTTCCTCAAGCACAGGTGGAGCTTTGTTCACCATTGCTCTGCCAGGGCCGACACCCTTACCCAGGGTCTTCCTCACAAGCTTAAGCAAACGCCAGGGTTAGGTTCTTGCGGTGGAGAAAAGAGGCACATCTGGAACTTCTGTTTATATCTGTGCCAACTGGCTTTATGGCAGAAGAACTGTGCTTGCTGATGTTCTGCCTAAACGTAATTCTCTTGTAATAATTGTAATTTAGATTTTCCAGAAAATAAGCTAAGTGTTGAACCTGAGGTCGACATTATGGACTACTGCCAAGAGGAATGGAGAGGAAACACTTCCCACGCCAGATGCATAAGAAAGGTCTGACTTGCCTTTTCTCCGCTGTAATTCCACCTTCCACACGCTGGTGCCCAGTGGTGGGCAGTGGTGGGCTACCGTTCCCAGAATTCCAGGCCATTAGCCACACTGCCTGCGCTGATGGGAGTGGAAGAAGCATCTGGTGGGTACCAGACTGGGGAGGGCTGCTGTACGGCCCTTAAAAAAGTTAAGTGTTACCAGGATTCACCTATTAGATTTAAGTTCATTTATTTATTTGTAATTCAGAGTACAAGTCTTTCCAAGGTGGCAAGGTGACCTTTCCAAAGCTTTTCCTCTGGAACACCCACAGTGTCCCTTGGGAGGCAAAGCAAGCGAGCGACAGGTAGCAACCTGAAAGCGTGTGATGCGAAGAGCTGGAAAGGTAGCACCTGAACCATCCCTGACGCAGGGCTGATTGTGCAATGTGCAAAAGAATGCACAGGTGGCTTGACTTGTTCTGCAGAGACAGGAAGAGCAGCTGCCCAGAGGGGGGAGCTGTGACTGCCCAGCAGAGTCGTCGCAGCTGGAGATCTCATGGTCCAGGCTTACATTTCTAAGGGAGCTAAAGAGTTCAGCAACAGAGGTCAAGAATGGAGGAATACAGTCCTCTAGTTCTCAGCCCTCCCTGCTTTTAGAAAACAATGTTTCAGTCCTTAAAATACTAGGGCTGGCCAGGAGTAAGTCAAGGATTGGGTTTTATTCATGAAACAAACATAAGTGACACCTGTGGATTTTTTTTTCATGCCTAATCGCTTCAAATATAAAGTGTTACCTGCAATATCTACCTGTTGAAAGGGTTGTTAGTGTCTAGTGGAGTTGCAGTTAAGACCTAAGGGCATAAGAATAGCCCTTCTAGTTAGAGCAAATACTCACCGTGTCTTGTTGCCCTCTGTTGTGAGTCAGGTGCTTCTGGGAAACCCACAACTACAGCTTGAAGATAATAATTTTCTCCTATTTTTTATGATAATCTAGTATTCGGAGAAGTGCAGTTTCACCCTGTCCCTTTCTGATAGTGTCTAATGCCATCAAATCTCTGGATCTTAATTTCATTCCTTCTTGCAGGATTTTTAAGCTATTAACCAGAATATCAAACCATTGCTTGTTCATGATTCATTTCAACTAACTAGAGTTGGAATAAACTACAGTTCCATAAATTCCTATGGATAAGTAAACAATGTGGAAATGTTCATTTTCATCCTCCTGAGCAGAACGGAGAGCCAAGCAGGAGGGGGTGACCCCATGGCTTCCTGTGGCTCATTGCTAGTCAACTAAACTATGGTTTAAGGACGGAGTCATCAATGGGGTCACTCAGTAACTTATAATTTAGCAATCTGCCACTGAATATGTGAACTTCCTGAAGATGAAAGCCTGCAATTTAGCTGTTTGTCTGAACTGAGTTTCATGTTGACAGCTCATTCATTCAGCAGCAAATCTCAGAATGCTGAATGCTGCATCTGCAGCTCAGTCCTTAGAGTTGGGCTCTGCAGGTGAAACTTTTGAGGATTGGCTTAAAAGTCTGGGTAGCTACTAATTAGCAGCTCTTTTTGTGGTTCCTTAATGTCAGCCTTCCTCCAACCTTGTGGCCTTCAGAGACATTTGGACTGCAAATACCCAGAATTCCCATCCAGCATTGGCTGGGAATTCTGGGTATTTTCAGTCCAAATGTGTCTGGAAGGCACGAGGTTGGGGAAGGTTGCAAGTTTATATCTTGCATGCATCTAATGGCATTTTGTGTTTTTAACACAGGGCTACAAAGCAGTTTCGCAGAAATTTATTTCAATAAGAAGAGTGCGAGGAGATAACTATTGCGCAGTCAGGGCGACCTTGTTTCAAGCACTTGCTCAGACGACTCAGCTTCCTGTTTGGCTTCAGAGAGAGGACATCATGCTGGTAGGCTCCAGACTTCCTGCACATATATCCGTCGGTAGCAAAAACTGGTGGAAGCTGTTGCTTAGCTGGCATTTGTAGAAGGCTCGCTTTTTCTTAAATATTTTTATCTGAAGAATTGCAGAAGATCCTGGGGGTGTTCCTCTAGCTCAAACAGCACTCAACAAAGGTTACTGTTCTACTTGAACAATATCCTAAAGAACTTGTTAAGTACTTGTAGGGAGCAAAGCTTATTTTTTCAATAAAATGTTTTATGATTAGACACTGGAATGTCTTCATATTTCTTGCAAAGACTAACTGTTCTCTTCCAAAAACGTTAGCTGCCAGAGAAACTGATGAACAAATATGACTGGATCACACAATGGCAACTCAGACAAAAGTGGACCACCAAAGCGGAAAACTTGATGGATGAAATTAAAGAATGCTTAATACTATTGAAGATGAAGGTTTGAGAAATTCAGTGTTTTTTTTAAATTACTGGTAGCTTAGCTGTACTGTAAATGCAGTACTTTTTTTTTAATATAGTAATCTAGCAGATAGGTATTGGAATGGACTTGGATGATAGATGGTTATTCTGATTGCATCGATTCTGCAAGATCAGGCTTACACATGCAAATTACCTTTTTGGATATTTTCTTGTGAGCACATGAGTGGACCTCAGGGAAAAGCCGCATCCAGCATGTAAGGGTGAAAGCTTGGCCAGCCCATCAGCTTCTACTGTTCTGATCACATCATTGGCCTGTGCCTCAGGCGAGACTGATTCCAAAAGTCCCCTTTCTCCTCCCACTGTCGGTTGATCGTAGTTTACCATGCTAGCCATCTCTTTGGCAGGAAAGAAATGTTCCTTTTTTTAATCTGTATGCAGGCTTACTTTTAGAAATCTGGTTAGCTCTGCTGTTTTTGTTCTTGTTCTTATGGAAGGAAAGTATGCAAATATTAAATCAAATTTAAAAAATGAAATGGTTTGTCTGCCTTTTAACTGACCAATTAATGTATCGGTTAATTTTAAATGTTTGCCGATCACCAAAATCACAATATGATTTGAAATACTAAAGAAGAGTATAGAGCTAGAGTCTAATTCAACTTGACTCATTCTTAAAAGGAATGGTCAGTTTAAACATTTCTGGTTCTCTTTTCACTTGGCTTCCAGCTTCTTGACCAATTGAAAGCTGATTCGGCATTGGCTTTTGATGTCTGAATTCCAGGTGGAATGAAGTATCTCTCTATTACTTTTGCTTTCTGTTTGTCTAATTGCCATTTATGTGCCTTTGCAGTGGAAGAATCTGAGTGAAATGAAGAGCCTCTCGGAGAGACAAGCAGCTTGTGATAAGCTTTTTAAAAGTGAAGATGATGAATACAGACTCTATGAGGCTGTGAAATTTCTCATGCTAAGCACGGCTATCAGATTGTATGAAGACAATGAGAAGGGAAAGGAGGTCCCCGTGTTCTCCTGGCTTCTGTTTGCTCGGGATACCTCCAGCAATCCTTCCCAGTTGATGGAAAACCATTTGAATCAGCTGGGCCACACAGGAGGACTTGAGCAAGTAAGCTGAATTCGTCATGCATTTGCTTCGGTAATACAGCGATACCTCGGCTCACCAACGCCTTGGTTCACGACCAAATAGGGCTGCAAACAAACATTTCATGGAAATTTTGACGTGGGTTGTGAACTCGGCATTGGGTGGGGAGATGGCCACGATCGCAGTTGCGTTCGTGCAGGGAAGACATGCGTGATCATGGGCGCGCTCCTGCAGGAAAGACGGGCACAATCTTGGCCATCTCCCCCCCCCCCCCCCCCCACCCCCCCCGCTCCCCCCCCTCCCCCCCCCCCCCCCCCCCAGCGCGCCCGTGATTGCGCCTGTCTCTCCCCCACCCCCCAGCACGTCGGGATGACGGGCACGATATCGATTGTGCTGGGGCGGGCAGGGAGATGGCCGTGCTTGTGCTTGGGATGGGGAGGGGGAGATGGCCCCTTTGTTGTTCTTTGTCACTTTGCTTCACATTTTTCTGATTAAAAAAATGGTTACAGAACAGATTAACCTTATTTACATTGAACCTTCTGGGGAAATTTAACTTGGATCGCGACCAATTTGGGTCATGACCAGAGTCCTGGAACGGATTAAGTTTGTGAGCCAAGGTACCACTGTATTTGGTATCTACTTATGCTGTGCGTAGTCAAGGCAGATGTTGATCTGGGACAGTCTGAACTGACCCTTGGTGCCTCGAGCAGGGAGTGGAGGCCCCTTGAGCCCAGCATGCCCAGCAAAGTCGCAGGGAATTTAGAAATTCTCCTGGGCCAGCGTTCAGCAGCCTCTCTTTTTCCCCACGGAGCTACTGTGGTGGTTGGTTGCCTGATTTCAGCTGGAGACATTTGAGCTGAACGTTCTGGGTTTGGTTCCCGGGGATTCATCCTTCTCTTTACAACGTGGCCTCAGAGTGCAGTTTTGTGACTGGGGTGCCTGTGATGGTTTTGACCGGCGCTTAGAATGTGAAAAATGGAAAAAGTAGTGTTTTGTCTGATGCAAAATTCTACCCTAGCTATGCCAGCGCAGTTCATTCTGCAAACCATGACACTCGCACAGCTCTATATATTGGCGCAGAGTTTGTCTTAATTACCAGTGAATCGCACAAGAGACCATTTATTTTAAATATGCAGCAGAGAGGTGTACGTGAAAACTAAAGAGAAGACTTTGATTAATATCTGGATGCATTTGGTTGTCCCGCTTCACCGCAGCATGAGCACAGCTCCCAGAGTGCTCCTCGTGCTGGTTACTTGTTTTCAGGGTATGAGCAAAGGCTGTGTGGACGTTGCGTGGATTGTGATGCGTAAAACGTGATTACTACAGTATTTGGAGCTGGCATGGGTGACTGTATAAGATGGAAGCTGGCATTTTACCTCTGAGGCCTCAGAGATTCATTGTGTGCCTGGGCTACAGAAGGCAACCAGCCAAGAAGCCGGGCTGCTCCTGGTGCTGTGGAAATGATCGTTTGCCTTGGAAGGGCCTCAGCCGGTGTTTATACTGCGTAGAGGGACCTTGAGTGATAAAGCCCATGAGGAAACATTTTGCTGACATTTATTGGCTATTAGGGATAGGCCAATGGACTGGCAGTTCACTAGGTATCCAAACACGATTAACTAGGTGGTTCTGACTGGATAGACTAAAAGAGAAATAATACTCTGATTAGGTAAGTGAATTCCTTGAAGTAAGAGTGTAACTTTTAGCAAGAAACATGCAGGCCATTGTTTTAATAATAAACCTGCTAAATATGAAATACCTTGGAGTGTGAGTTTATAAAAATAGATTATTCCTTAATTTTAACTTTAAATTCTGTTTATACCACACCTATAGCCTAAAAACAGCTACTAGGTGTGTGTGTGTGCGCGTGCATGCACTCGCGTGCGCACTAAGAAGAATATAAGGGATCGTCAGAAATGGTGGGTAACAGTGGAAATTAAGGGATAAAAAGATAGCAGGAATATCCATTACATGTTTCTTATTGTCCCACCAATAACTAATTCCTTTCACAGGGAAAGGGAACGTAGAGAGAAACTGAATCCAAGCTCATACATAGTTTCTGTGCTGCAGGGGCAAAAACCTTTTTAACAATGTAAAAAAAAAAAAAACCTCCTCCCCCCCCGCCCCCTTGCACGCACATGTGCACACACACGGACAAAATTGGGCTGAGGACTCTGAGGCTGGCACTCATTTGCATGGGTGGCTTTCAGTCCAGGTCAGGATATGTGTGGGTGTGTACATACAATCTAGGTGAATCAGGCTATTTAAAGTTGCGTCATTTAAAATAATACATGATTTTGTCACTTTTTTTGCTAGGTGGAAATGTTTCTCTTGGCTTATGCTTTGCAGCATACCATTCAGGTTTATCGATTGTACAAGTATGGCACAGATGAATTTATCACCCTTTATCCTAATGAGCCAGAAGAGGCTTGGCCAGTGGTAACCCTGGTAACAGAAGATGACAGACATTATAATATTCCTGCTCGAATGTGCGAAGAGACCAGTTTGTAAAAAAAAAAAAAAAAAAGCAATAATTATGACCTTTCCCCTATTGTATAAATTGAATAAACAATTTAAAAGCAGGTCTCTTAACTACTAATATTCTTTGTAATGTTACAAGTAAAAGGTGTTACATGATTAGTATACTTGGGGATCAAGCATGTGAAATCAGAAACTTTATGAACTCTATTTCTAGGATGCAATAAGTGAATATTTATCCTGTGCATTTATGGGACAAATTTCTGAAATGAGATACACATTAATAAACATGAAAACAAGGGAAGAAGCTAGCTACTTCCGCTCCCAGTTTCTTAAAGGTCTAGGTATCCTTAAAGCACTAAAGCAATTCTGTCAGAATCAGTCTTTGCAGTATTTGTTCTTGGTTAGGCACAAGAAACCCAACCCAAGTGCAGAGGCAGTTTCTGACCAGAAGGTGTCCTTGCTGCATCTAATTGCGTGTGCATCGGCCTTGTGATCCATATTCCCACACAGGGCCATCGAGAGCGCCTCCCCATGAGTACTCTGGGAGTGGGTGAAGTTGTGCATTTGCAACTGTATTTGTTGCAAACATTCTTGTTGCATGTAAGCCTCTATCTGGAATGGAGCCATGACTTGTGGCTCAGACAGCCGTTAAAAACTTAGCACATATCTAAATTCTAGTACACAGAACTCTTCATTTTTGGCAGCTGATGAAACGTACCCTTAGACCTTCTAGGAGAGATTGTCAAGAAAAGCTCAGCTGATGGATTCATCCTCAGATGAACTGGCTTAAATAACAAAACGTTTTCAGACATGGATTGAACAATTGTGTTTCTCCTGTAGATGACAAAATGCAACAAACAATTAAAAATAAAATAAATGCCAAGCAATACAGTGAACAACAGCACTTCTGAGTTTTCTTTTGTTGACTGTCCTGAAGATGTGTCATGTGAGGTAGTTTTCACAGCTAGCTCCTCTGCATGCTTACTCAGAAAGAAATCCAACTGAATTCCAGAGGGCGTTGCGCATGAGCTCAACCAAAGACTTGTTCTGCTGGTTGAAGAGAAGAAGGCTAGAAAGCTGCGAAGACCTGATTTGTTCACTCTGACCTGCTTGTTTGAAGCCAAGCTTGTTGTGTAATTTACCCATAGGTGATGTCATTGCAGGCAGGAAAGGATTGATACGGAAAGTTCCTGGGCCACCATCTTTCTTTTAAATGAATCTTGCACGTTTCCATTGAGTTGAAAATGCTTAAAAACGAGAGAGTTTTGTGACACTTTAAAGATGAACAAATTAATGTAGCTGGTTCCATTCTTGCCCATCTGGCTCAGTCTATCTTATGTGCCCAATCCATTAAACTGTGGAGATGAAAATCCTATGTGGGCTCCTGCACGCAAACAGCCTTGGTACAGTGCTTTTCACATTCAAACCTCAACCCCTTCCTATGGGTTGAAGTGATCTCTGTGACATGTAAAAAAATTATTTTCAGATTCCTGTAAGTTTCTCTTGCTAATTGCAGTGCCTTGTCTGAAATACCATGGTAGAATGAATATTTGTCCAGAGACTTCCCCATCCACGTATCCAGTATCTTGTAGCCTCCGAAAATGTTTCACAAGGATAAATAGTTGAGCCTAGCGCCTCTAATGGAAACTGCAGACAGATGGTGACTGAGCTGGTGCACTAGACTCTCGTGAGCCTTCGCTGCTATTTTTTACCTGGTTCAAGGTTAAACAATGCAAGTAACTTTTAGGTTTTGTGCCATCATCTGCCTGCTATATTTAAGTAAAAAAAATATTTTTTACTAGAACGTACGTTTGCTTAAAGGGTCAAAACTTAAGGGTAAACATTAAACATGGAATCACAAGGACATTTCTTAAATGGCAGATTTGTAGTATGTTTCAGTACTTTAAAACATCTCTTCCAAGGTGCATCAACATCTCAGCCATGAAAAGCTGGATGCTGCAAGGTAGCATGAGCCAGGTTGTATAATGCCAGGTGTGCCTCACAGAAGCCCTGCCTTTAGGACCTAGTTCAGCAACCTCTTGACTGCAGGGCCTCAACATAGTTCCCACAAAGCTACACCTTTCCACCTTCTAAAAGTTATTGACAGTTTTTCAAAATCTTGGAAAAATGTTAGTGCACTGGGTTTTCCAGTCTCAATCAGCCATTCAGGGGAGAGAAAGGGAAGTAAAGATACGCATCCTGGTTTCACCCAATCTTCCTCCATGGTTCCCTTTTTTCTTTCTCCCTCCTCCCAGCCATTAGCTGTCCTGCCACCCTTTCCTTGCAGGCTCTCTCACTCGCCTTCCTGGGCCACCTTCCCCTTCTCCCTAGCCTTGCTCTTTCCCTCACCACCTTTATCCGGCTGTTTCTTCCAACCCCCAGCTCACTCTCTCCCCATCTCTTTGCCCTAGCTGGGCCCTGGCAGCAGGCGTGATGTGAATAGCAATGCCCTCTTTGGGAGACATGTTGTGGTGGTGCCCACAGAAAGTGCGCACATTCCCAAGGCTCCGGGAATGCTGGGGACCTCCCCAGTATTTCTGCAGAAACTGGCCCTGCTCCTTTTCATCTCTGAAACAGAGTTATTACCAAGGCAATCCTGCTTCCTCCCGGTGGGTTTGACTTGTTAATCGATAGGATGTAAATCCTGGTTCCTGTTTCATTGCCGTAGCTCAGGAACTTAAATAACAGAATCCTAATTCTAGTTAATCATGAGATAAAGCAAAGGTAATTGATGCTCAGCTTTAGCAAGATTTCCCTCCTGCACTTCTGCTAAAAGCAAGACTCAGCTCTCCTCAACACCTCCTCAGGCATCTGCATCTGTGTGTTTGCGGAAATGGTAAAAGCTGTAGCAGCTGCCATAGATTGAGCCCATCATCTATATGGGAGTCTACTTTTGAGTAGCATAAACATATCACAAATTATTTGTGAGGGGATAGTAAGACAGACTGCAGGTTAACTTTCCTTTGTTCAAAATGCTTCAATTAAATTTCCGTTATCAAATGTTTAGTAATTATTTCAGTCCTTTATGTCCTACCATTCCAAATCATGAGGAACTTCTATAACAAAGGAGGGAGGGAGGGAGGGAGAGAGAGAGGACTTTTCTACTCAGTCTTGCTTTGATATTTCTAGCAGAGCTTCATTTCAGGAATGGCTAAAGCGATGGTTTGGGTGCAGTGGCTCAGCCTCACTTCAAACAACTGAGTTTATGGGGTCGATATTAAACAGAAATCACACACTGCCACTTAAACTCCATTACAGACCTCTGGAATAATGTCATATTTGGAATATTTAGCTTATTGTAAATATCACTAATCCACCACTTATTCACTAGTATGGTAATTATTGGGCTCCAGATTTGATTCACTGTCAGCCAAATTAAACAGTCTTCACAAGTCTTACTAGCTTAATTTTGTTTTCTGTAATTATCATTCCATTAAAATTTTGCACACTACTCCAAATGTTTTCTAAAAGGAAATTTAAAAATGGTTAACAGGTAAAAGCCTCCTGTTATAATGCTTCACAGAATTAACTTAATGGAAAGTGTAACACTTCAATAATTGTACTGTGACTGTATATTTTTATTCTGGCTTTCTATTCTGTTGCTTTCAAAAATTTCCAGGGTTTTTAGAACTATTTTTTTAAAATCCACCATGAGTTCCATGAAGGCAAAAAAGGTTGGAGAAACAATAATAAAGTCATATTTTAGGTATGTCTCAGGGAACTTCAGTTATTGGGCAGAAAGAAAATACAACTACCGCATTTTTCGCTCTGTAAGACGCATTCCCCCCCCCCCCTCAAAAGTAAGGGGAAATGTCTGTGCGTCTTATAGAGCGAATGTGTGTGTCAGCGTCCCGACGCCCGGGACGCTGCCGGCCACCTGCACCACGTGGCACCACCTGGCCGGCAGGCGCTCGGTGCGCCCTGCTCGCCCCCCCCTCCTCCGGCGCAGGTGAGAGCTGTTAATCACAGGTCGGTGTGTGTTTTCAAATGGCAACCCGTCTTTTAATGAAGCCCATGGGGAAGTGATGGGGAATGTGCCTGTGATTATCAAGAAGCTTTCCATGGATCCCTCCTCTAAAAACTAGGTGCGTCTTATGGTCAGGTGTGTCTTATACAGCGAAAAATACGGTAATTAATATTTGAGCTTTCCTACAGCTCCATCAAACTTACCTGAAATCATAAAAATCTGCTTTGCATAAAATTGTATTGTACCTCCAGAACTAGTAAAATGGGTCTATTTCCCCAGGTCAATCACCATCTGCTGTGTCATTTAAAATGATAAAATCTCTCCTTACAAATTGGGCTAAGCAGAACCCCAGTTAATTATATCTAATATCCTCCAATATTGAGAGACACCACATTTTGGCTCCAGAACCTGATCATGATCATGTGAGCATCGAAATCTCCAGCTGTAATCAACACTGTTCAAGAGATTCCATATAATTCTCAAATTCTACCCAACTAGCAGCTGCTAGTGATTTTTTTTGGACAGGGAGGTATACAGAAATTGACCAGCAGGAATTTTTCAGGAAAGTAATATAAACACCAACTCTCGTGTGCATTTCCCAGTGGGATGAACATGATTGTGGAGGTATTGAGAAGCTGTTTTCTCTTCAAAAGCTTCTCCTTATGAGCTTTGCAGGACCTATCCATGGTGCTGCGCTCCCTCACTAAAATAGGTTTCCTGTCATGGCTAGCTTCCGCAAAGCTCAAAATAAAAGCTGGAGTGGAGAGCAGCCCTGCTGACCAGCCTCCCCTCCCTTGTCTTTTAGGGTATTGAGTTGGGTTCAGCTTAAACCTCTCCTGGACAGAACAGCACCTTCCATCAGTAGGAAAATTTTGATTCAACAGTTAGGTAATGGGAGGAAGGGGGGCCGTCTTTGCCAGAGCCACTGTCTCTGCTGCAGTCCCCTATTCAAAAGACTGGAAGGTCCTTTGAAGCAGTAGGGAAGGTGGAACTTCAGCTTCAAAAGGAGACCAGTGGAATCAATTCCTTTCTACCAGTATTCTGTGCAGGAGATAACCCTAACTCTGGATCTTGCTCAGGATCAACTGTGAGCCTTGAACGAGCTCATTCCAAGTGTTTTTCTTCAGGTAATGG